ATTCGAACCCACGGCCTTCGGCTCAATACGCCCCTGCTCTAACCACTTCATCCAGTCACGATAGCTCAAGCTATCTTTCCTGATTTAGGCAATTTATTTACGACATCCGGTACTCCAGTCAGTTTCTAATGACAGGGAGAAGCTAATAATATTTCGCGAACAGTGATTTCCAGGCAGGATCTGTATTGTTTGCCCTATTAAAAAGAAACTGGGAGAAAACCGTAGGAAAATAAAGCTGAGTAAAACAAAAGCAAATCCGATAAGTGGCCTTGTTGTTTTCCGGCATGGCCTGAGATCTCGTTTGACACTTGAATAGCATTTTTTTTTGTTCTTTGCTTTCTAGCAAGGGAGAATGGCCGTTTTATACACGGTTATTAGAGCCAGTGAGACTTTTATTATAACCCAGGATCGGTATGGGGAAGATTTATTATGAGGTGATCTATGGGCGAATCGATTTCCATTTCACTTGGGGCGTGAAGTTTATAAACGGAATAGTCATCTTCCTTTCACTTTTTTCAATGTTTGTTCACGTGTTTCTTTTTGGAAGTAATCGTTGTTTGTATTGCAATCCTTTTCAAATATTTTCGGGTGTTAACCTTTTCGCACGGCTTGGCTTTTATTTAATTGTACCGATGAACAATGTAGAAATAGGTTCCTTTTCCTTGTGGCTACTTTCTTTATTATTTCTCCACAAAATCACGGCCATGCAGGAACAAAAACGTTTTAAGTATTTTTAAGAGAAAAATCCACAAATTTGATCAAAAATGGACAGGATTTTTAAATAATCTTGTACAACTAAAAAAAAGCAAATTAGCGATATAAATATTATTAGAAATTTTCAAATTACTCTAAGAATTAGGTGCAAACCTACAAATGCACCCAAACATCAACTAAGCATTTCCATGCAAACTTAAGTGCTTAATTTCAGGATTTGGTTTTTTTACTTTTACGACTTAGCTACACAAAATTGCTTTTAAATTTCAGAATTACTGCCTGTAGAAAAATATGGTTTGTGCAACCTGAAAGAACGTAAAATTTTATTTCTAACAAAACTTATTTACACTGGAGAATTGTTGAAAAAGTTCTGCACGAACAACTCAGCAAAAACGTTAAAATTTGTAGTTTTTTGAAAATATTGGATTGGTGACTGTTAATAACAGCAAAATCCGGCAGTTTTACAAATTCCCCAAAAAGTTTCCCATTCCATTAGCTTCCAGCGTTATATCCACCTTTTGGTAAAAAAAAAACCTAAGTGTCAGTTGTTGGTTTTCCGAAAACTTTAAGTATCAGTTAAAAGCACTCAAACTATGGCATGTATTTTTTTACATTTATCTGGTCCTTTTCAAGTAAAATTCAAGGGACAGCTATTGTTGGCAAGAAAATTTAAGAACCAACTGCACGTTTTCGCGAATATAATTTTTAAATTTTATCTGATTTCTTTTTAATAAATAAAACCTATGTGACAGCTGTTGATTTTCAAAAAAACCTAAGTTGTAGTTGCAACTTGTCGCCAGGGATTAGCTACTTCTTTTTTAATTTCATCTAATTGTTCTGATAAATAAGGCCCAACTGTCGCCTGTTGCTTTTTCGACAACTTAAGCATGAGATAAAAACACTCAAAATATCGCATGCTTTTTTTTCTATTATCTGATCCTTTTCAAGTAAAATTCAAGGGACAGCTATTGCTGTCAAGAAAACTTAAGAACCAACTGGAAGTTTTCGCGAATATAATTTTTAAATTCCATCTGATTTCTTTTTAATAAATAAAACCTATGTGACAGCTGTTGATTTTCAAAAAAGCCTAAGTTGTAGTTTCAACTTGTCGCCAGGGATTAGCTACTTCTTTTTTAATTTCATCTAATTGTTCTGATAAATAAGGCCAACTGTCACCTGTTGCTTTTTTCGAAAAATTAAGCATCAGATAAAAACACGCAAAATATCGCATGTTTTTTTTTTCTATTATCTGATCCTTTTCAAGTAAAATTCAAGGGACAGCTGTTGTTGTCAGGATAACTTAAGAACGAACTGGAAGTTTTCGCGAATATAATTTTTAAATTCAATCTGATTTCTTTTTAATAAATAAAACCTATGTGACAGCTGTTGATTTTCAAAAAAACCTAAGTTGTAGTTTCAACTTGTCGCCAGGGATTAGCTACTTCTTTTATTCAATTTCATCTAATTCTTCTGATAAATAAGGCCTAAGTGACAGCTGTTGGTTTTCCGAAAGCCTTAAGCATCAGAAAAACCAATCAAACTATGGCATGCTTTTTTTACTATTATCTGATCCTATTCAATTTTGGCATTAAATTTTTTGGATTTCCCAAGACGTGAAGTGTCAGCTGAATGTTTCTTCTGGAATCCAAATATCATCTCATCGTTTTTTTTAATGCCATCTGATTTTTTTTTTAATAAAACCCAAGGGTTGAATAAAACGTAAGAACAGTTGGTTGTTTCATCTTGAAATCTATTCTATTTTAAATCCTGTTTAATTATTTTTCTACAGCTTTATAACAATGGATTAACCATATGAAATTCTATTTTCTCAGCATCAATCATGGTTGTGATTTACAACGGACATTAGGAATTGGGTAACAATTTTTTTACGAGTTAGCTCCATTCAAAATCATCCCCTTAGTCGGCGGTCATGGGAAAACTGTTATCGTCGAGCCATCACAATAGCAAACCTTAAGGCAAGAGATGAAAATGGCCAGTCATTTCGAAATTAAAACAAGCTTTATCACAACATCAGCACATGCGTGCCGTAACAATGGTAAGGATGATTCGATCTCCGACGATAAATCAAATGTTTCGGAAACATTAGGCCTAAGATCATCACTGGGTACGATCTGTGGAAACAACAAGCCATTATTTTAAAAAAAAGGTAAAAAAATAAATAAAAGCTCAAACATAAACCAACACCGTGAACTCTTTACAAGTGCTGAAATTTCAGGAGGCTACATTGTGAATGTTAAATAAACTTTCGGCACATCTTAATTTCGGCCCTCGGCTGAATAATTCAAGCCGTGATGTTGGACGTCGAAAATGCAACTTTCCTTATATGGAACGAAAATCAATATTCGGATCATGAAACGAGGAAATGTGCTCTTAGTTAACACAAACAGTACTAGTAGTCGTTACCCCTTTTGGCTTTTAAATTAACCTTGCGAAATAATGTACGTTTATGCTGAAAATTTCATACTGAGTACAGAATATTATGTTAAATTATTACAAATATAATTCAAAATAAACCTGCTTGGACTGCTTAAAAGTTGTAAATAATCCACCAGCTGCAGGGTTACAAACATCAGCTATTTCCAGACACCGAGCAACAGCTAAAGTTTTACAAAATTACCATAAAATCAGCCATCTGAGGTTTTAAACTATCTTACGTTGATGCTATAAATTCGCAAAACTCAGGGTACTTAATAACTATCATCCAAAATCGAATTTTAATAGAAGTGATAAATGATGGAGTGAGTGTGGTGTTCAATATTTTTTAAAGATTCACTAATTTCGTGGTCCGCTTGACCAATTAATATATTACAATTAATTAAGGCTTTTAATTGAGATAAAAAAGTCAATGGCACGAGCGGGATTCGAACCCACGATCTTCGGATAGATACGCCGCTGAAAAATGTAGGGGTTGTATGCAATCGTAGAGGTCCTTAATAAACTCCTGGGATCCGGTGTTTTAACAAAAAAAAAAGCGCATTTCTTCATTAAAATATCTACAATGTCAACAACAGAAAAAAAATTGTAGGATGGTAAAAAAGAAAAAAGTATATTGTTAATAATAAATAAAATATATATTTTTTATGCTTTATTCCTTTTTGTTTACTACATTTATAATTTTAATTTTTTTATGGGGATTAATTAAAATTTAAATAAATAATTACTTGTTAGTAAAATTTCATGTAGTTGTTACGTGTAATTAAGATGTTTTTTAAATTAGGAAACTACATTTTTTTTTGGGGGGGGGTTGTATGCAATAGTAGAGGTCAATAATCAACCCCAGTGATCGGTGTTTCGAAAAAAAAAGTCAGCTACAGTATCAATGGAAAAAAGCCAATTTGCAAGTAAATGTAGGGAGGTAAAAAGAAAAAAGTAGATTTTTACGTACTTTAGCTTGTTTTAATTAAGTAATCAGCTATAATTTCATTCAAAGATCAGAACTTAAACTGCAAGAAGATTTTGCAAAATATAGGACTTTATTTTATCATTTATGTGTGGTGATTAGTGACCGTTAATCGATAATTATTCAAAAATCGTGAGATGCGGTCTGATGTGATGTAGGTTTCAGAAAAACATTTTCTTTATCGTACCAACGTTTCGAACTTTATCAAGATCATCTCCAGGGCTCAAAGTGTTTGTCTTCTGTGTAATTGTACCATTCTTGCGTGTCGTGTTGAGAGTGTCCACCTGGATTCTTGGCAGCAAGATTATAATAACAGCAACAAAGGACTATTTTACAAGAACTTATTTTCTAAGATGTCGTTGGTTCTATGCTTTTCAGTTCAATACGCAAATAAAAAGTCCGGTAAAATCATTTCCAGACTTCGATCAAATCATGGCATATGTAAAAAATACTTAAAAAAGATAAACCTGCCCATGGATGAGTTATGTGCATGTGGAGCAGTGGAAACATGGAACATATCATATTGTAATGTAAAAAATATGATCAAACTCGAGATGAAATGTTAAACGAGGTAGTGAGACACCTTCTAAAATATACAGTAACAAGCTACAAGGAAATAATAAAATCGGAGTCAAGGTGCATTTACTCAGCTATTTTCGGCTGGAGTGAGAATTTAAATAATAATATAATAAAACAAATAGAGATAAAATAAAAGACGGTGGCTCTGGCCGATCAGCTGATGCAAAAAAATTAAGCAAGTTTGCAATTTAACTTTCTTCGGGCGAAGTACCAACTACATATTTACATCAGCTGTTTCTACACGCGCCGACATATCCGGAGGATTACGAATAACATGAAGAAATATAAGTAAACAAAAATATTATCTAGAGAAAGATTTAGAAAAGAAATCATCGCCTCCAAGTAGTAAGTCTAAGCATCGACTGCAAATCTCATTTTTCAAGTACCAAGTAAAAAGTGGCCGCAACGGTTTAGGCGTTGACACGGCGCTCATCACTGCAAGGTAAAGTTCCCGGGTTCGAATCCAGCGAGTATACGTACAAATAGGCATTTTTTCAAAAACACCGGCATCCTCTGTTGTGTACCATCGTAAAAAAAAAGAAAAAAAGTTCATTTATTCGTTTTAACGTACACCAAAACATTTCCATAAGTTTTACGACTATATCTTTCTAATGATACGTAATCATCAGATGAAAGTTTTAAAATCACTTCTCAAAACTCAAATTTCAGCTGTCGATGAACCAAAAAATTCAGGTGTCGACTGTACTTAAAGCCACATTCGAAATCCATTTTTTGTCCAAAACTTAGAAATTCTGGTTTATTTGATCCATATTTACTTATGCCACAACACTTTTATACAAAACCAATATGACACCACAAGAATAGCACCACGCTTTATGCCCTGAAGATGACCCGAATAAAGGTCGAAACGACGGCAAAAAAATGAAAAAGGTGTTTTTCTAAACTATATCATTCTTGACCGCTCCTCACTACGTCAACAAATTATTTTAAAGTATAACTTTAAGCATTTAATTTTTTTTTTTTTTTGGTAATTAGAATTATGCCAATGTCGTGATGTATGCAGTAAAATAGGACCGAAATAAACTTGGTCCGCGTTTTTGTTTTTAATTGTTTAATTTTATAAAACCGGACTATGCTAATTTCTGATATCCATCGGCTAGGACCAAAGAAGATAAATTTGCTTTTCGGCCTGTTTTGTCCCGTCCGGGCGCGGCCCAGATAAGAGATACGAAGGCCGGGGTTGCACAATTGGCAAAATGTGCCGGGTTACTTAACAGAACGATCCGTGAAAACAAACATCCCGCTTTAACAAGACGCCCTCCTGCATAAATATCATGGTACAAAGCCCTGTACTTTTGTTTGGGCAGGTCCTCTTTCGCAATTGTCAGTGATGAGCTCTGACCGCTTACACGGCACGTAGGTCCTACTGACAAGGCTGATCGTTCATCCTGGCATTTCAGGTCCGAGAGGTACATACAAGTCCGTTTTTACATGTTTTCCCACTATTTTGAGTTAATCAACCCACTCTCTCCTGACTATAAATCCATCGGTAATACCGCAAAAATAAACCAACCGCCAACTCGACGTCTGAGAAATTTTACACCGATTCTGCAATGCCCAACAATCCGAAATGTCAGAATGACAAGTGTTTCCCGGTGAAAACAACAACCGACTATCCGAGCACTCCGATCTAAACGGATTTCGATGATGTGCCCGCGGTCCGTCGGCAGACGAGAAGGGGGAACAAGGTCGACGGGGACTCATGTACTTTATTTTTATGTTGCAGTTGGCAGAGTCGAGGCAAGAAGATGAGGTCCTTCCACGCTGCTCTGATAGCCGCCGTCTTTGTAAGTCATTTTTTGAACAAAACTAATAGTATTTTTAACAAAAATCAAACTAAAAATATCTAGTATAAAAGTAAAAATCTTGTCGTGCAAGGGTATCGTGTTAAAATGGAATTTTCTTACTAAACCAGCCATATCCATAGATGACACCATTCATAAACAAATTATTTTACAATAACAACTCTTCAATATATTTATATTTATAATATATTTCTTTTTCATCCATATAAACTATAAATAATAACGATGACTATATAGAAAATAAATATTGATTTATATATTGACGATATAAATACATCATTTTTCAAAATTTATTCTTTAAATTGATCTAGAATTGTTGAAACATTTCAGTATTTTTTAGTAACTACTAAACAATAATTGAAATTTGGCAGTATTTTTGTGAAACATATTGCAATAGTTTTAAGGTTCAATTAGTACTAATAAAAACTAATAGACGTAGGCCTTCATGACAACATTTATTAATTTTTATAGTTACAAACATCTAATTAACTGTTTTACAGGACCTCTATCTCCATATATTTAATATAAACTAAAATATCTTTAATAATAGATCTGTGACATATTTTAACATTTCTTCTTTAATCCGAAAATTTAGAAAGATTTTGTCTTTTTAGTAATTACTAATGAAAACTTAAAATTTGGCTGTATTTTTATGAGACATAAATATATTGCAGTAGTTTGAGATTCAATTAATACTAACAACAAATAATAGACGTAGGTCATCAAACATTTAATTCTTTTTATAGTTAGAAACTTCTAATTAACTATTTTACAGGACCTCTATCTCGATATGTTTAATATAAACTAAAATATCTTTAATAATATGTCTATGACATATTTTAACATTTCTTCTTTAAATTGATACGGACATTTTGAAAGATTTTTTCTTTTTTTGTAACTACTAATGAATACTTTAAATTTGGGTGTATTTTTTGCGAGAGAAGAGTACATAAGCGGTTTTTTAGGCGAAATAACTGCTAACATGCTCAGTCAAACTGAGACGTGATTGATTTAGCCTTTAAGGTTTTTTTTTGTCATTGTAAATACTAATCTTTGAAATTTCGTTGTATGTTTTGTGAGAGTAGATTATATAAGCGGTTTTTTAGGCGCAATAACTTCTAAAAATTGATCTTTAAATGGATCCGGAATTCGGAGAAGATTTTTATTTATAGTTTATTATATTTTACAAAATTTTTTTACAACATTTATTTTTTTAAATCTTGTTATTTTTAATGTAAACGAAAAACAATAACAATAAATGTATGACGTAGGTTAACATTTGTCCTTTGAAGTGATCCGGAAATTTTGAAAGATTTTTGTATTTATTTAGTAACTACTAATGAATACTTAAAATTTCGCCGTATTTTTATGAGACATAAATACATTGCAACAGTTTTGAGGTTCAATTAGTACTAATAACAACTAATTTCTGCACGCTTTGCTTACAACATTTTTTCAACATTTATTTTTTTAAATCTTTTTATTTTTATTATAAACTAAAAACAATAAAAATTAGTGTATGGCATATGTTAACATTTGTCCTTTAAATTGGTCCGGAAATTTTGAAAGATTTTCGTATTTATTTAATAACTACTAATGAATATTTTAAATTTGACTGCATTTTATGAGACAAGAATATATTACAGTGTTTTTAACTTGCAATAAATACTAATAACAACTAATATTTGTGCGCCTTGGTTACAACATTTATTTAATGATTTTTATCTTGATATTTGGCTGTATTTTAATGATACAAGAATATATTACAATGTTTTTAACGCGGAATAATAATAACAACAAATAGTACATGGACGCCTTGCTTACAACAACATTTATTATTTACTTATTTTTCAACATTTATATAGCTTTTTATCTTCTTATTTTTAGTATAAATTAAAGCATCTTTAAAAATAACACTATATCTATGACATATTTTAACATTTCTTCTTTAAATAATCCGGAAATTTTGAAAGATTTTTGTATGTTTTTGTAACATATATATTATGCAGGGTGGGCGACCAAGACCCGAGGGGTTAAATGCCTGGGTAGACTCGTACCCCATCCCTAAAACGTCCGGGACTTGGTCGGCTCACGTGTCCTGCATAAACCTCTTGGACTTGTTCACAAACCCCAAGATTTTGGACCATTTTACCTCGGGGAGTGATTTGGTGATGTCCTCTCCTTCAACGATTTCAAATCTTGACCTAGCATACCTATCACACTCTGCGAGGTAGTGCCTTGCCGTTTGTTCTTTTATTTCGCAGAAGCGGCAAAAGGGATCTGGTAGCATACCCATTACGAAGAGGTGTCTTCGCAGTGAGCAGTGGCCCGTCAGAATACCTATCAGCCTCCTATGTTTTTTTAATTACTAGTAATGAATACGGGCGTGATTGTTTTAGCCTTTAAGGTTTTTTTTGTCATTGTAAATACTAATCTTTGAAATTTCGCTGTATTTTTTTACGAGAAGAGAGTATATAAGCGGTTTTTTATGCGCAATCACTGCTAACATGCTCAGTCAAACTGGGACGTGATTGTTTTAGCCTTTAAGGTTTTTTTTGTCATTGTAAATACTAATTTGGAAATTTCGCTGTATTTTTTATGAGAAGAAAATATATAAGCGGTTTTTTGGCCGCAACAACTGCTAACATGCTCAGTCAAACTGGGGCGTGATTGTTTTAGCCTTTAAGGTTTTTTTGTCATTGAAAATACTAATCTTTGAAATTTCGCTGTATTTTTTACGAGAAGAGAGTATATAAGCGGTTTTTTGGGCGCAATAACTGCTAACATACTCTGTCAAATTGGGACGTGAATGTTTTAGCTTTTAAGGTTTTTTTGTCATTGTAAAGATTAATCTTTCAAATTTCGCTGTATTTTTTGTGAGAGGAGAGTATATAAGCGGTTTTTTAGACGCAATAACTGCTAACATGCTCAGTCAAACTAGGACGTGATTGTTTTAGCCTTTAAGGGTTTTTTTGCCATTGTAAATACTAATCTTTGACATTTCGCTGCATTTTTACGAGTAAAAAAATTGATGCATTTCTAATAAACCGTATTCAACTCTAGGCTGTTGATGTCAAATCAAAGAATACCATATAAAATACAATTTACGTTTATTATTTTATATTGTCCATACAATAGTCATACGTCTCATTTCATGAATCATATAGCAGATTCAGATTTCAAAAGACTCCAAATATTGACAGAAGCCGTTTCTCAGGGCGTAACGAGATAAGCACGTGGGCAGCCGAAAAAAAATTACGATTCTAGGTCAATTTTTCATGTAACAATACGTATTTATTGGGCTGAACAAGGCCCTAGTATAAATCATACATTGTTCTTGAAGATTTGGCAATATGAATTTTTTTCCGGCGAGTACGATTACCATGATATTCTGGAAAAGTGATCCCGGACATAAAACAACTACAAACATTTTTTATGTCCTATATCCTAGCATGGCTATAACAAAACATGATTTTTTTATCACCATTACTCTTTTTATAACTTAACAAGTATAATTTTACTCTAACACGCCTTTTTTTTGTAAATAATTAAACAGAGATTTGAATAGAAAAAACCAACTTTTGATGACAGATGATTAATGAAGTTTTTGAATACTTCACTGGATCATTACACAGGTCCAACAAGAGAAAGTTTTTTTTCATTTTTTCCTTTCATATATTGTACACCTACGTTGGGACAACGGTCTGAGATGATAATCAGGTTTAAAACACGCAAACTGACCTTGCCCGGGGTCATATAGCGTGCAAGTGAAAATTGCAAAGCTCATTCTTAGACGAAGTATTGCACTTAATACAACCGACTTTTATCAAAATTTGAACTTTTACCCTTTGTAATCTGAGTAACTGATTGTTACTTCAAGACAATATTTACTATATTATAAACGTAAAATAATTATTATATTAATTGATATTCAATTATAACTCCATCAGATTTCGTGGTTCGATTGACCAAATAACTTCTTTCAATGGATTAATCTTTATGTAAGGTATTGGTTGAGATAAAAAAGCCATTGTCACGAGCGGGATTCGAACCCACGACCTTCGGCTAAATACGCCGATGCTCTACCACTTGATCAATCGTGACTGATCCACTCGGACACCAATCTATTTGAAAAATGGCAAAAAGGAGGAAAATTCGAAAGGTGGGTTAGATGGTAAGTTGGTATCCGAGTAGATCGAAGTCACGACAGCTCAAGTGGTAGGGCTATGGCGTATTTAGCCGAAGGTCCTGGGTTCGAATCCCGCTCATGACACTGACTTTTTATCTCAACCAATACCTTACAAAAAATTGTTTAATTATAACGTTTCAATGTAGAAAGAAATATCCTCGCAAATCCGGCTTATCTTACAAGCAGGTTTTTTAGTCTATCCCTGTGGTTTTATTAAAGAAGAAAAAATAGCTTAGTAAAGTGAGAAATGCTGTGAAATAAAAACAAAATTTTAAAAATATAAACGTTCATCATAAAGATAAAGTAACAGCCATAGTGCATTCATTAGTTGTTAATTTTATCTATCAGCTAGACTTTTTCTACTAATAAAGTATCTTCAAAACTAATCTAGAATTTAATCTTTGTTGTTTTAAAGGTATTTCAGCTTGTAATAATACATAAATATCTAGGGAATATTTTTGCGAAGAGTGATATTTTGCATTCTGACTATCAGCATGACTTTCAGCTACCGCACTTCGTTGATTTTAAAAGCTGAGATGTAAAAAATTTTAGTCGTCCTAATATCCAACACTAAAGTTAGTTAAAAAACCTTCGATTGTATCTGGCATTCTTACTGTCCAATAGTTATATTTTTTAGGGTTCGTAACAGCAGAAGTCATATAAACCCTCAGGGTGGCGGTGTTTTTTAAAAAATTCGGATTCGAATGCAGGGCCGCTTGATTCGATCCCGGGACCTTTACCTTACAGTGAAGAGCGCCGTGTCAACGCCTAAACCGTTGCGGCCACCGACGCC